CTGACTCGGCCTGACCATTCGTTTGCGGGTGTTCGATCGATGTGACCTTGTGCTGCACTCCTAAGCCGGCTAGGAATTCATTTAGTTTTCGGTCTGTAAATTGCAGGCCATTGTCGGTCAGAAGAGTGTGAGGGATACCAAAACGGGTGATAATATTCCTCCATAGAAACTTTTGGACTTGATGAGCCGAGATACACGCCAAGGGCTCGACTTCAATCCTTTTGGTGAACAGGTCAACGGTAACGATGAGAAATTTGCACTGGCCCTTGGCGACTGGGAAGGGTCCGCGTATATCGACACCCCAAGTGGCGAACGGCCAAGCTGGGGGGATGCAATGTAACTGCTCTGCCGGCTGATGGATCAAGTTGCCATGCTTTTGGCACGGCTGGCACTTCTTTATGAACATAGCGCAGTCAGAGTTTATGGTCGGCCAATAATATCCGGCTCGCAAGAGTTTGGATACTGTCGTCCTAGCTCCTGAATACATTTCGCAAATACCCTCATGTACTTCTATCATCACGTAATCAGCCTCGGAGGGGCTTAGGCATTTAAGCAAAGGGGTAGAGAAGCCACGTCTGTACAATTGGTCGGCGATGACGACGTATCTACTGGCTTGAGTTCTCAACCGCTTGGCCTCGGTTGGTTCGGTGGGTGTGATTCCGCTGGTGAGGTATGCCTTCAGTTCATCCCGCCAATCGAGGAGATCGTCATGATTGGTCAGTTCAGCGTCAACATTTGCTACCATTTCAGCCTCAACACTGGGGTGGTGGATCTCTTGCTGGATGATCATTCTCAAGTGGCCCGGTTTCTTGGTTGCGGCCAACCTAGCCAACTAGTCGGCCCGTGTATTGTCTTCGCGGGGGATGTGCTCGACCAACACCTCCTGGAAACTCGCCTTCAATTTTTGATAGGCATGATAGTACTTTATCATGTTGTGGTCCTTTACTTAAAAATTTCCGCCCACCTGCTCGGCCACTACTTTGGAATCGGTACGGCATTTGATTCTTGATGCGCCCATGTCCTCGGCCAGCCTCAATCCCGCCAATAGAGCTTCGTACTCGGCTTGGTTATTTGAAGCTTTGAACCGAAAGCGCAAAGATTACTCTAAAGTTATCCCTCTCGATCCTTTTAAGATTACTCATGCCCCGCTCCCCTGGCTGTTTGAGGATCCGTCTACATGGAGGGTCCACCAATGTTGTTCAAATTGGCCGTGCGGGTGAAGTTCGTTTATGAAGTCGGCCAAGCATTGGGCCTTGATCGGTCCCCTCGGCTTAAAGGTAATGTCAAATTGTGAGAGTTTCATTGACCAGGCCATCATTCTTCCGGCGAGTTCAGGTTTGCTTAGTACCTTAGCGATTAGGCAGTCGGTATGCACGATAACTCGGTGGCTTTGGAAGTAATGATGTAAGCGTCGGGAGACGTGTACTAAACCGAGTGTCACCTTTTCTATCAACTGGTACCGGGTTTCAGAATCCTGTAGTTATCAGCTGACAAAATATATAGGAGCTTGGGTGCCTTCTTTTTCTTGCACCAGAACTGAACTGATCGCTTCTTCGGACACGACCAAGTACACAAGTAGCGGACTCGGAGGATCAGGCTTCGTGAGGGTCGGCGGTGTCGCCAAGGTCGTCTTCAACGTTGCGAAGGCGGCTTTGCATTGTTCATTCCACGAGAAGGTCGAAGCCTTTCGCAAGAGTTTTGTCATCGGGCTAATTTTGTCACCTAGCCGTGGGAGGAATCGGGATAGGGCGACCAACTGTCCTGAAAGGCGCTGCAATTCCTTGAGGTTGTTCGGGCGTCGCATGTCTAACACGGCCTGACATTTGTCTCGGTTCGCTTCTATACCTCTCGCGGATAGAATGAAACCTAGGAATTTGCCTCCCTTGACCCCGAAGGTACACTTTTCAGGGTTGAGTCTCATGTTGTGCTTGCGGAGTTCACCGAAGATTTCGGCTAAGTCGGCTAGGTGTTCGGCCAGAGAGTTGGACTTGACCACCATATCGTCCACATAGATTTCGATGTTTCGGCCGATTTGACCCTGAAACACCTTGTCCATTAGCCTCTGGTAGGTCGCCCCGGCGTTCTTCAACCCAAACGGCATCACCTTATAACAAAAGTTGGCACTCTCGGTTATGAACGCCGTCTTCTCCTCGTCGCCCGGGTGCATCCTTATTTGATTGTAACCAGAATAAGCATCCAAGAAGCTGAAGATTGAATGTCCGTACGCTCCGTCGAATAGTCGGTCGATACAAGGGAGTGGGTAGGCATCCTTGGGGCAGGCCTTATTGAGGTCGGTGTAGTCGGTGCACATCCCCCATTTCCCATTGGCTTTTTTGACTAACACCACGTTGGCTAGCCAAGTCGTGTAAGTGAACTCTGATGAATTTTGCTTGCAACAATTTTTTCACCTTGGCATCGGCTGCCCTCCTCTTCTCGTCACCCATTTTTCTTTTCTTCTGTGCGACCGGCCGAGCGTCTCGACATACGTCTAGTTGGTGACATAGGAATCTAGGGTCTATCCCCGGCATATCCGACGCTTTCCATGCAAACAAGTCTCTGTTGTCTCGAACCGTTCGCTTCACCTGGTTCAAATCGTTTTCGTTCAGCTGAGATCCTACGTGTGTGACCTGCTCAGGTGTCTGTCCGAGTTGGAAAGAAACGAGGTCTTCGGCCGGCTCGATTCGATCCTCCTCACCCAGGCGTGGATCGAGGTCTACGCCCTCTGTCATCTGTCTTATTACATTTACGCCTGCCGACGTTGACAGGGGATCGGATATGGGACGGACCTTTAGGCTAGAGAGGTAACATTCTCTTACTGTCTTCTGCTCGGCGTGAACGGTTATTACTTGTCCATCTTTCGACGGGAACTTCATGCACAGATGAGGGGTCGAGACGATGGCTCGGAGTGCATTAATGGAGGGTCGGCCAAGTAGGACATTGTAGGATGTGTTCGCATGCACAACGATGTAACGGATTTTGATCTCTCGGGAAGACTTTTGGTCGAAACCGAAGCGAGTGTATAAGTCGATGCACCCCCGTGTCATTTCTCTTTCCCCGGAAAACCCTACTAACGGTTCGTGATATGGTTCTAGGCTTTCTTCTGGGATTCCTAGTTGCACGAACGTGTTCCAATATAGGATGTCGGCCGAGCTCCCCTAGTCGACCAACGTTTTCTTCACGATGCAGTTGTGCATTTTGACCGAAATCACCATGGGATCGTCTTGTACAGGGTCAACGCCACGGAAATCTCGGTCAGAAAAAGTGATAGGTGGCATCTTTGGCATTCTCGGCTGGTTCACATTGTTCACTGATCGGACAGCTCGGAGGTGTCGCTTTCGTGCTGAGGAGGAGGAACCGCCTCCAGCAAAGCCCCCGGCTATTGTATTGATCACCTTCCGTGATCGGTCATTGTCCTCCCTGGGACGCTGTGATCGATCTTGGCGTTCAACCGAACGGGATCGGCGGCGTCGGTCCCTCGGTAAATTTGTGACTAGTTTAGAGACGGAAATTTTGATACAAAATTTTCCTTGAAAAATCCGTCTCTAAATTTGTCACTAATTTAGTGGCTAATTTTGTTTTTCTTAAAAATTAGGTGCAACCACTAATTTCATTTAGTGTGAATTTGCATTTCATTTGGTGTGAATTTACATTTCATTTAGTGTAAATTTGCATTTCATTTGGTGTAAATTTGCATTTCATTTCTTGTAAATTTTAATTTCTTTCATTTTTTGTACAAGGCCTTTTTAGGAGTGTCTTAGAGTGCCTTTGGTGTATCTCCATCTCTCCTTAATGTTTTCAACTAGGGTAACACGTTTAGAGCTTGTGAGAGTGGTCCTTGGAAGTCCTTGGTACTTTCCAAGCTCTCACATAAGTTTACTTGCTTTAAACGCCTAGTTTATGTTTTCTTGTCTTTAGGTTTTCATGCAATTTGTTTTAAGCAATTTATGTTTTCAGCAATTTAAGTTTTCAAGCAATTTATGTTTTCATTCCATTTATGTTTTCAAGCAATTTATGGTTTCAAGTCTTGAATATTTGTACACATTAGGCACTTGTTAGTTATTTTCTTTTTGAAAAGTTCTTTGTGAAAATTGTTTTGTGCAAGGCAAAGTACAAGGAGGTTTAGAGATTTTTACTTGAAGAGGCTTGGTTATTAAGTGGCTCTTTGTAGCTCACCTCCCTCCATAGTTCAATTTGTACTCTTAGACCTCTAAGTGCCAAGTCAAGCACTTCAAAAAAATATTATTTTCTTTAAAAATTATTTTTGTGTGAAAATACTTTTTGTCTAAAATGTCTCAAAACTCCGACTATAGTGAAAGTGATGGCTCTCCAAAAAGTCTTTCTTATATCACTAAAGAGATAAAATCACTTAAACTATGGGGGAAGCAAGAAGCCATTCAAAAATAGAAGGATAAAATTGAAAGAGAGGGTCAACTTGCTATCCTTGAAGAGGATTTGAGGATTCTTAGAAAAAAAGAGGAAAAACTTAGAGAAGAAATGAGAAAACAGAAGAGAAGGAGTAGGAGCTCAGACTCCCAATACACATCCCCAAATGAAAGTATAAATCTAGGGGATCACTACCAACCCGCACCTAGGAGAACTATTAAGCCTAGGGAAGTTAAAGTTGACCTCTAACAATTCTTTGGAAAAGATGACGTGGAGTTGTATTTAGATTGGGAGATGAAAGTTGAGCAACTCTTTGCTTGCCATAAGGTGAGTGAAGAGAGGAAAGTCTCTCTGGCTACCCTTAGCTTCCAAGGGCATGCCATGTATTGGTGGACTGCCTTAGAAACAAAAAGACGCCACCGCCATTGACGGTCTACAAAGGCAGTGCAAGAAAAAAGATCATGAGATAGAGCGGCTCAAGGACGAGTGTGCTAACCTTAATGAGAAGGCTATTCGGGCATCCAAAATGCCAAAGGTCGAACCGAGTAGTCAATTCCGAGATGACAACGCAAAGATAGCACACCTCGAAGCCGAGTACGCAAGACAGGCACAGTCGATCAAGGATATGCAAGATGATTTACTCTTGACTCGATCCGAGGCACAGCAATGGCGGGCGGCGGCTTCTTACACAAGCTGTTCACGAAAGGTCCAGGCCTTAGAGCGATGGTCAATCGGTCCAATGCCACGGCCGGGTTAAGGTCGCCGATCTCCATAGCAATCCTGTTGAAGCGTTCCATAAAGCTTCTTAAGCTTTCCTTCTTTTCTTGACGGACCCCTGCTAGTGCCAACGAGGTCGTCCTGTACGGTTTACTCGTCGCGAACTGGAGAGTGAATTGAGATGACAGCTCACTAAATGAGTCGATGGAAGAGCTCGGCAACTTCGTGAACCAGCTCAGGGCTCGGCCTTTTAACGACGTAGGGAATATTCGGCACAAAGCCGAATCGTCTTGGGTGGAGAGAGTTGCTTGCGTCAAGAAGACGTTTAGGTGTTCATCAGGGTCGGCGGATCCGTCGTACTTTTCGATTGGAAGACTCTTCCAATGATCCAGTAGAGTTGCTTCCATTATCCTTCGCGAGAAAGGGTGTCTTAAGGAGTGAACGTTGGTGTTTGCCTTGTTGCCAATTAGAGAGGTAACTGGTGTTCGGGTCACATGGTCGGTTGGGGCATGGTATGCCGACTCTTCTTGGAGAGTAGGAGTTGACGGCATGCATGTTTGATTCAGACCCTTGAGCTCGGCATTTTGTCGACGCAGCTCGGCTAGCTCTCGGGCATCGGCCTCCCTTTGCCTTCGAATGGCTTCCATTTCTTCGCGGAGCGCGCGCATGTCATCCTGGAGGTCGGGCTGAGCTCGGTCAGTGTTCGACTGGGTCTCTCGTATCACAGGTTCCGACTGGGTCTGAGGCATTCCATACGGATATCGTTCTTGGTTGTTCATGGTGGGATTGCTCTCGAGATTAGGGATCCGTTGGGTTGTTGTTGATTGTCCTTTGCGCGTTACTACCATGCCTTAGTCTCAGTTGTAGAGTTTAAAAGGGATAAAAATATCTCTTCGGCCCCACGATGGGCGCCAAATGTTCCTGTGTTAGGAAACACACTTCAATTATCCTTGTTGTAGCGGGTCGAATCTTGGGTCTCGGTCTTCTCGTTCCTATCCGAGTAGTCCGATGTGAGAGGGGTGTGCCTGCAAAGACACTCCAACGCTCAAGTAAGTGCTCGGCGTAATAAATGCGATAGTTGAAAAGTTGGGTACGTACCTCGAAGGGGGTCTATTTATAGTGTTTCTTGTTGAGCCGTGATTAGGGACTGGGCCCCGGATAATTAGGGGGTTAAACCGAAATATTATGTAAATTAATCTCTCCGTAATCATCCTAGTGAAAATCTGTGTCTGGGCCGAGCAAACTGACCTATTCCCTTTCATGAGTAGTCGGCGTGCTCGGGGTTATCAGTTGGTTCAGTCTCGGGTGTACGCGCTCGGCCTATTCGGTCACATACTCGTACGTTCGGACTGTTCAGTCACCATACGGTATAACTTGTATATTAAATCGATACACAAGAAAAATGAGAAAGAGCATTAAGAACTAAAACACATTCATTTCACAATTATTTTGTCTAACAAGACAAAGACAACGTTTTATGTGGATACACTAGAAGATTGAAAAAAGACGAAAAGGATCAGATGGCTAACAATAAGTCCATTAGTGAAAGAGCAAAATGTTGGCAATTAAAATAAATTTAGTAGCAGAACATAAAAATAAGTACATCAAAGAAACTACACAATCAAATTGGCTCCAGAGACAGAAGCAAGTTTCACGATTTTAAAGCTCATGGATTCTCGCTGAATAAGAAATCAGTTACATGATCCAACGGGGTAGGCATCATATCCAATTTCTCCATCCAGCAACGTCAACTCATTCTGCTCCTGTATCATAGTCTTGCATTAAATTATGAAATAAATACAAAGGGTATTTTCTGTCACCACAAAAGTTGTTTATATATATATATATATATATATATATATAAATTCTTTGGGAGATAAATTTTACTAAGAAAGCAGAACATATCATTAGATCAATATCTAATCCGGTCAATCAAAGAAAACCTCTACCATAACCTCAATCAGTTTATTAGTCTGATACATTAGTGATGCTTCCAATTCAACACAACATATAAAACATGTGTAATTAAAAACACCTGATATCATCTCCTTAGGCACTAGTTTGTCTAAATTACATTTTCTTATTAAATCATCCAAGTTTTGGAAACACGCTTTTACATACAACCCTTCATTCAAGTGAAAATAAAAAGACAATAAAGGTCTCCATAACTTGAGAAAAGAGAGGGGTAACTATAATTTAGACAAATTGGTGGGAGTAATTCCGACCAATAATAAGTGTTGTCCTAGATTGTTTTCCATAGACCAATAAAAGGCAATAAATACATGAGAGAATAGTGATTTTACAAAAGTAACTTTGTGATTAATCTTCTTTACTATTATAGATGCAACATAATAACCACTTTCAAAAGAATATTTTGATGGATAGAAACGGCTAATAGGTAATCAATACTACATTGAAAACCTACATGACACTTGTTTTGCAACTTTGTTTTTTCAAATGTGACACTTATAATGGGATAGAGAGTTCTATTTTTAAAATAATCGATATTTATAACCACAGAATCTGTGTCTATAACTGCAGCATTTATAATGATTAATCCCTCAATTCGTCATGTACTGTTGTTAACTTAATTGATATTTTTTGCCTTAAATTTCCAAGATTTGCATAATTAATTCATTCCAATAGCAGTAACAGCTTAATTCAGAAATGAGTTGCACAGTTAAAATTCCTTTCTTTCTAATACAAGCCAGAGCAAAATAAGGAAGGGGTTAAACAAGACTCAACATAAAATCTTCTTTACTATTTATAAACTGCATAAACCTTCAGATTTTCCATTGCAAATGAAGAGGCACCAAGTGTATTAAAATAAGCTGCGAAATGGCATCACTTAGTAAAAAAATATATGGAATTTTTGAATTATTTCCGAAAGGTAGATTTTAGATAATACAATTAGGCTGAGAAACCAAAGCTACTCAAACATCAAAAAGCAACAGTCAAATTCAAATCTGTTACAATCAAATGCAATTCATTAGTTTCATGATATCATTCCAACCAGAAATGCATCTAAAAGAAAACAGGGGGGAGAAACATGTTGGTTTCTAAGATCTGAAAAAATGTTTCTTTCTAAGAACTGAACAAACAAAAGTAGGCTATTTAATCATACCCTTTTGACCATTGCACCCATTAGGTCATCCAAGGTACTAAAAGTGTTCTGCATAAATCCATCTTGGGACTTCATTTGCTCCAAAATGTAGGCCTCATTTGACTTCAGTCGAATGTCTGAAGACATCTTCTCAATTTCAGTGCACCGGGTGATTGACGGGGTTGCCCCATTCAGGTTGCCAACCAAAGATGCATCAATTCTATTGCTACAATTTGTATTATTCTGGTTTAAACCATGGCCCATGGAACTTGTCACTCCACTGGAAGAAGCATGTGAGTTCCCAGGGTTGAAGGGACGATTCATGCTTTGGTTATAGTCCAACCTTTCTTCCCATCTTTGTTGGGATGCATAGCTTGAAGGCTGTACAATATTCCCAATCAAGCCTTCTTGGCACCGCAGTTCATTTCTGGCATCGTCCAAAGAAACAGGAATTGTCATTCTGGAAGAAAAATCAGCCGAACTGTTACCGATATGAGTAGTTGAGTTGGAAACATTTATGCTAGTGGGGGGCAGTTGGTCATTGCCAAAAGCATCACACAGTGGCAAAGAATTGGCAGGAAATTTAGACAAATGAGCTGCACTCTGCCAGTTTTCATTACACCGATTATAATCCAACAAATTAGAAGAGCCACACACGCCCATGTCAAAAGGTTCTGCACTTAAAGAAGCCGCTCTAACAGAAGGCTGATTTTTAAATGCTCCTGGGCTATGTGTTTGCTGTGGATTTCCTTGTAGCATTATACGATTATTTGAGACGCATGGTAGAGAATTGTTTGAACCATTAACAGTAGCCCTGCTATCTGGGAAGCTGGAAGCAACTGTAAATCCACTTGAATCAACTTGGTTTAACGGCGATATTCCAGTTGCACAGTTGCTTTGCTTGGATTGGTTAAGCTCAATTGATGTTGGAATGCCCTGTAATAAACCTGAGCTTTGGTTTGCAGGAAACATGGACGGCGGAATATTCCCTAGCGTGTTTAAGGAGCTGTTAATGTTTTGAGACTGAACAGGCCGGATAAGCGCAGAAGAACTAATTCCTCTCATGTTCAAGCCAGCTGGGGAATTCAGCCTACTAAAAATACCACTAGATGCATATGACGGTAATGTTGAGTTCGAGATCCTTCCAGTTCCAGATGAGGTGCAAAAATCTCCATATCCATCTATTGAACCCATACGTAGGTAAGAATCGCTACCACCCAATGCAGCAACCATGTTAGCTTGCTGAGCTGCCTTCTTCAGATAGAGTCGATACTTCTGCAATACATAATGACAGCAAGCTTAGGGATATGATACAAATGCAAATAAAATGTAAAAAAAACTACTGAACATCTCTGCTTAAATAATAGTCAGAAACTAAAGTTGATACAGCAACAAACCTACGCTCAGTGTTTGAAATTTTGGTTTGAAGTCTTAAAAAGTTTCATTAGTCATTAGTAACAAGCCATTTTTTAATTTAATCTATCCTATTTTATTGAGAGAAATTTTTACAAAATATCTAATATATTATACTAGGCACATTATTCAAGTGTATGTCAAGTTCTTAACACTTTGATAGCTGACATTGCTATACACTTTCCCAGAGTTATTAATTCAATTTACAAACTCTTTTCATAATATTCCATCAAAAAAATAATCATTTGCTCACAAGATTTTCATTCCATGGTTTGTCAAAGACCGAATAGAATAATTACGATAACTAGAAAACCAAGTATTTGTACCTGAAGATGGCTTGCCACATTTTCCCTTGTAAGCCCTTCAACATTCATCAGGTCAAGTATTTTCTTAGGAACAGCCTCTGCAATAAAAGGTGGATAAACATGGGATTAGGAATAATAGTACTCATTTCAAAAAAATAAAATTACATTGCACCGATAAAAAAAATTAAGAGCGTTATATTTTAAAAACTGCAAACTCACTATCTAGGCCCAGTTGATTAACTGCAGCAACAAATTTCCTATGCAGCTCAACAGACCAAACTACACGAGGTTTCTTCTGTGCTGAGGGGTCCTCCTCATCTCCATTCCCTTCCCCATCTTCTTCTTCATCCTCACTTTGGTCCTTTCTTCTTTTACCGAGCCTTTTATTTTGGTCAGCACTGTTTTCTGATCTCAGGCCTTGACTACCTTCCCCAGCAATATTAGGAGCTTTCTCCTCATTGGAACTCTTATTCTGATCCTTGCCATCAGAATTCTTTCTTCGGATTACATGTTGCCATATGTTCTTTAACTCTTCCATTCGAACAGGTTTCAGCAAATAGTCACACGCCCCATGTGTAACACCCTTCATCACCAGCTTTGTATCACTGTGTGCTGACAACACTTGAACATCATAAATAGTAATTTAAGTCAGCAAACCAACTCAACACAATACTGGGAGATTAAATCAACTAATTTTAGTCAAGTTCAGTTTTTGTACAACAATAATTAATTCTTGCAAAGACTAAATCACTCCTTAATTTTGGAGAAAAAATGAACATTATTCACACAAATTGAATTTTTATTGAGATTACCCTGATCAATTATACAACAAAAATTTAGATTATGGATAAGTAAAGCTCAGGTCAAATGCATGTCAAGACAAAAAGTATATGAACTTACTTATGACAGGTAGGTCCATTTCAAGTCCCACCAACTCAAGAAGCTTAAATCCATCCATGTCAGGCATGTTCACATCACTGATAACAAGGTCAAACTTATTTCTGTTTTCCCTCAACATCTTCAGAGCCTCAGCTGCCTGATTAGTTGTAGTAACTGCAACAACAACCACAAATCAGATATGAGATTTGGCAAAGTAAGAGGCATCCTAAACAATGAAAATAGATCAATTTACCCCATAACCAAAGCCAACCAAATCATAAAACAAATTATAATTTGTACCAAAGGCTTCAACTTTAGAAGAAGCAAGAATTTGCAAATCTTGCCCAAAAAACCAATTTTTGAATTGAAATTAGAAGGTAAGATCAATAAATACAACCCCCAAACACAGTATCCATGCACAATGCATCTAAAACATTAAAGTAACTGGAATTATACGGTCAATTCACCACAAGTATAATCTTTTACAAGCCATGCCTACCAACATGGTCCAAAGTTTAGCACAGGCGATTTTTTACTGAAACAAAAGAAATAAAAAGAAACGAACCCTGATACTGGCATTTGCGAAGGAGATTCTCCAACACCTTGAGGCAAATTGGATCGTCATCCACAGCAAGAACACGCATACCCACGGGAAAAGGATCGTTACCCCCATCTTCATTCCCCAAATGGCCCCTTTGGTTCTCCACAGCCATATCGAGCCAGCAAAGCAGAACCAACACACCCAGATTAGAAAACAAGGCTCTTGCTCAGAGATCAAACATCAAACACCAAAAAGCTCCAATTTTGAAAGCGAGAACTTTGTTCTCAAGGCCTCTCTTTCACCAAAGCAAAAAGGGCAAGCGAGAAAGGGGAAAAAATACGAACTAGAACAAGGTTATGAAACCTGTACAAAATAGACAGTGATGGATTTGAAGCCAGCAAAACAAAAACATAAATCTTTTAGTATAATTTAGTGAAATCTCTCTCTCCTTCTCTCTCTCTCTCTGTCTGCTCTGTTATTTGTCCTTCACTTTTTCTACCAAAGAAACAGGGAAAAAAGCCTTTGACTTTAATTATTTGTTAATCGCTGATGCAAAATACAATACAATAATGCAGCTTGCTTCCACCCTCTCTAGTTTTTTATATATCACATTCGCTAATTTCTCTCTCCTCTTCACGCCAATGCCAGTGTGACATGTTTCCAATTACACCCTTTTGGGCACTGATATGGTAACGCTCATGTGCCCAACTGATCAATGTGATGCCTCCACCAAAGTCCCTATGCCCCACTCAACCAAAAACTAGCGACATGATTTTCTCAGATGATTTCAAAATCATGCCTATGATCAATGTGTCCTATTATTGAGAAAAATATGTTTCAATTCCTTTTGTAATTAATGAGGTTTAATGGAGTTTAAATTTAAGATTAATTACCCAAAATAAGTAATTATAGTCAACTCAGGAAACTACGCTGTCAAGAACTTTAGAAAATCTCAAGAAGAATCTGGATATTATGGTAATGTGCCATTATTGCTTCTCATTAAATGTATATACCATTCAAGTTTTCTGTACACGGAATATGAGGAATAATTTCTTTTAAAATGAATTTTTTTTGAATCATGTAATTTTAGACTATTTATTTATTTCTCTTTTTTTTTTTTCAATTAGAAGGATGAGTTTTCGTGGTTCAATTAGATAATTAGTTAATGTGGTTTGTCAGCTAGGATGGGGTGCTGGCACGGTTGTGTCTCCTGAAGTGCAAGTTAGTGGCTAGACCCACACAGGTGGAAAGTTCTTGGTCAGTCACATATTTATTCTTTTGGCATATGCTCTTTCAGAAATTATTAAACAAATACTAATGATGATGATGAATGTGTAATTACACCCATTTATTATTAATAATTAGTATTTTTTAATTACCTATTAAAGTAAAAGTAAAACTCATGCCCTTGTCGGTTGTTATGCAATATTCCAATTTCAAAGTGCTGATCACAGAGTTAATGACTCAGCAATTACCAATTTGTTAATTCATAGAGCTCTTAAATCTTACTCCCTCAGTTCCAGGAGTTTTATTTATAGAATAAGAAGTTTTATAGAACTAGAGCCTTCACTATACAATTTGGTTCAATTTTAGCTTAAAATTCATTTCAATCAAATAAAAAGTTAAGTATGATTTAAATATATTATAAACAAATTCAAAAAAAGATAAAAATTTTGTAGTTTAATTTGATTTGAATTGATTTTCCTGAGTTTAAAACAATGCTATTTAAAAATTAACTAAATATTTGTTTAAAATTTTGTTTAAAAATAAAATAAAAAATATACAAAATTTTACTTTTTTGCTCACTCAATAAATATAACACCAACTTTTATCTTATTATTTGAGTGGAAATAATTTTTTAATATAATTTTAGTTGTCTTATTAAATATATTTTTTTGTCGCTCAAAAAAATTAAATGTAATTTAATTTGATTCAATTTAAATGTATTATGAAATCAAGCAAATATATAATATTATATTATTTATTCAAACCCATGCTCATTCATTCTCTATGAGAAGCAAATGTTGTGGCACATATTTTGACCGGTTGGAGCTCGCATTTTTTTGAATTAGGATCAGACATGGTTCGCTCCTCCTAATGATATTCTAGTCGTATATAAGGGAAATTTTCTCACTATTTCTTAAGTTTTGTTGTTTTTTCTTTGCCTTTTATTTTTGTGTGTACCAAAAAAATCGTACGTTGAAAATAAAATTAAAAGTATATAAACTCTAGAACTTTTCGGTCACTCAATAAATTTAGTACTTACTCTTATTATATTAATTTAGTGAAAACATTTTTTAATATAATTTTAATTATTCTATTAAATATGTTTTCACATATATATGGTTTGTTATTTAAACTAAAATTATTTGATTCATAATTTTTCATCCTAAAATTTAGTTTAGTAATTTTTAATTTCATAAAACACCTCAAATATATTACAATGTTTATACTCTAATCAATTCTTATATATTAAATATAAATATTTTTCTTGAATGAGAATGTTTTTAAGATTTTTCTTCATAAAAAGAGTTTTTAGGAATTTTTTGAATTTCTTATCTAATAAATTTTTTATTTATCATAATTATTTATTATTAAATATACAAGTAGATATGATTTATTCTTTTATAAATAGGGAAACTTGAATATTAGGTAATAATGAATAGAATCCTTAATTTTTGTAATTCAAGTTTTCCCTACTTATAAAGCAAAAAAATACATCAAATCATATATTTAGCACTCCCTCAACTTTGAACATATATGTTATATGAGTTGAATTTGTTACAAAAGTCATTAATTCGGGAAACCTCAAGGAATTTAGTAAACATATCTGTCAATTGAATAGGTTGGAGAAGGTCATTGTACTCAACAACAAAAACACATGTTTGTGTCATGGCTGTTCTTAGAATTATATATATATAT